ACTCTATAAAGACTAATTGTAACTTATATGTTTAAAGACTAATTGAGTAAATATGTAAAAATGAATTGGCAAATTGGCACCGTTTGGCCCTCATCCAATAATAATATGACACATATTGAACATTTTGTATCCTCTCAGTTGTTTCCCATTGCTTTGAGTGCTACTTATAATATTTATTATAAATTTAGCAGACAATGAATATTGAATATAAAACAGCAAAATATTTACTTAAAAATTTTTGATTTGTAAATGAAATTCATTCTCTATTAGGAAAACAACAGATAATATTTATACTATTATATTTATAAACTATAATTAATAGTTGTTTTAAAAATAAAAGTGTATTCAATCAGATATATAATTAGAGATTTTAGAATTTTAAATGCCAATAGTTGTAAAGTTTAAATGATTAAAATAATGTTAATTTTAAAATTCAATTTGATACTAATTTGTAAAATGAATAAGTTTACATAAAGTTTTTACATTTCAAAACTTGTTTTACACCTGTTTTGTGGCCTAAAGACGTAATCGACAGGTGTTGCAGACCTTCGGACTTCAAGTAAAACAAATAAATTCTTTAATTAATATTTCATAATATACTCAAAAAATATTTTGTATTTAAGATTAATATCATTAACAAAGACAACTGTTAAAGCCGTCATTTTCTAATGAAAGTTTTAGTTTACAGTAAAAATATTTACTATTTATTATTGTTAATAATACTATTCAGTAATTCATTACATGTAAAATCCTGTAGTCACCTCTGGCTTAAACAACACTTAATGTGTCACTAATTAACTCTTAAATCAAATCTTATCTAAATGCTAATTATACAGTATTTTCATTACAACTTATAGTAAATACAGAATATCAATAATGAATTATTATTTTAGAAAGCGATTCAAATAAGTAAAACATGTATCAAATATTGGTTTCTTATATACAATTCATTATTAGTAGTGGTTGTGAGAGTAGAGCCCAAAGCCATAAGACGTTTAATATAACATAAATAAAGTTAGGCATCAGTTAATAATTGTCTGATAAGTCAAATAGAAATGTTGTTAACAAATAACTAAAGTTTAGTTAAACCACTAAATGGAGTGAATGTGACAGAAGAGCCCTTTTGGCTAATTTAAAATTCGTGTTTTTAAGTTAATTTGATTTCCATTATTCATTGGCTGATAATAAAATGTCAAAACCCACTGATGGGCACGAATTACACACAATTTATTGCCTTCACTAGCGTTAAGTGATATTTCGGATACTTTGCAAGCGTTAGAGTATAGAGTCGTGAATATGTTGTTTGAATTGTTGGGAATATTTAACACATTTTACAAATTTAATCAATAATTTCAGCTCAATTTATTGTTCACAATAATAACTAAATAAATTTCTATTACTTAGCGCTTATATTTGAATATTTATTTAAAAATTTTATTCAAATGTTTTATTTAAATATGCTAAATACTAAATGAATGTCTTTTTTATTAGTGTACTTCGGTATACTTACGAATAAAAGTAATAACAATATTTCACTTAGCAGCTTACAAATTTGTTAAATAAACAAATATAACTTATATAAGTTTAGTTAGTTGTGAGAGATAATTTATTATGTTCATCAATGCTAATACAGATCACTTCAAAATCTAGTAAATTGTAGGGCTCTGAATATTATATATTTAATTTGGTGTCATTAAAATAAAATTTATTAAATAGATTGTAAAACTACATTGTAATTTTAGTTTAACTTTTCTGTAATTTTCATTTATAAAGTATACATTTACTTAACAATATTTCAACAAAATAGTACTTAATTAACCAATTTATAACAAAATAACTAAACATCTATCAATATTTATTTCCAATACCGTGGAAAAAATTTATAATTGCTCTCCAAAAAAGGATTAATAAAATAAATAAACTCTAAATATGATTAACTAAATTATTGATAAAAAGATTAATTAAATCAAACCAAAGTCGAGATTGATTTGTAATGAGTATTTTATCATAGTCTACCAAAAACCTTATGATATAAAATATTAGCAATGCATTGGTTATAAATTGAACATTTTTGTAAAATCGTCGTCCTTTTTATCATCGCTCGAAATGATTACTAGTTTTTGATGCAATGATATCTCAAATATACTTTTCGTAGAAAACAACTTTCAAAACTATTAAACTCATCAAGTAATCTAAACATTGTTTATCACTTAAATTTTTCTACTAAATATAGAACTAAAATACGAATTGAGTATTGAGTAAGTTATGGGTAAAACTAATTGAAACTTAATAACGATTCAGAAGGTCTCAAATATGAAGTCAAACTAATCATAATTATTATGTAGGCATTAGAGCAATATATTTGAAGGGTTAGACAAAAAGGCACACTTGAACTCAAGTGCCTATACAATGAGCTTATGTTTCTCAATGTTCGTCAAACAATATCTCATTTTATCACTATTTAAACATTTAATTGTTCTTCAATTATGATATTATTATACAATAATATAACTAATATAACACACAATTCGTGTTCAATACGAGTAAAGCGCATATTAATTGTTAACTAATAACTCGGAGGGGAACTCATTCAATACATCTAATCATTTTATTTGTCTCATCCTATCAGTCCTATGATTGCAGAGATTAACCATTTCTAGACCATTACATTCCCATAAGAGAGAGAGAGAGAGAGAGAGAGAGAGAGAGAGAATAATTGTTGTCATCATTGAATCAAATAATTTTCTTCTTAATTAACCAACAAATATAAAACTGGTCATCACTTGCGTGTCCTCTTAAATCTTGATTCAGTGTTAGCTTTACTCCGAGTGTTAAATATAAAATGTTGGCCACGTATAAGATGTTGCAAACATACAGTATTAATATCTAAGTGCCATTGCTTTACTTAACATATTATGAAGAATAACTTATTCTGAATAAGAGATTTGTAATGGGTTTCTACATAGTTATGCAATAGTACTATGAAATTGCAGACACCACCCTGGTGCTCTGTTGTAGTTTCATTTCATATATTGTGTCTATGAAAAATAGTAAAAACATTAATCTTAAGTTGCTTTACAATTAATCTTATATTTCTATGTGAATCTAATGTGAGATGTATAAACTAAATATAAGCATTGATTTATTCAATATTATTATGTTATGCCATATTATAAGAGTAAATGCAATAAATGAGTGAAAGAAATATTAAACTGACATTAATTTAGTAAAAATATAAACATTTAAGAAAATAAATGAATGAATGAATGAATGAAATATAAGAACTGAATGACAGAAATAATATAAATGAATGAAACTCTCATTTGACTGGTGTTTGAAATTTGAGAAATGAACTCATATTATGTTTAAAGAGGTTTGGGATCAGAGACTACTCGACATTCGTGATAAGAATGCGTATTCGTATGGAGAGCACCGGTACTTCCGTTTGAGAGCAATTGCGATGACTTGTGAGGGCTAACATTGAGCATACATAGGGCTCCACACACATGTCCATCAGTTGGCAGTAATTGATTTGAAAATTACACATTTGGCTAATTGTGTGAATTCTGACGACTAGAGACTTGACTGCATCCATACCTGGCGTTAAACAGTCGGCCCCTTCTTGCATAGCATAGCATTGATTTGCAGCTTTTGAAGCATAATATGATCTAAAAGTATAGCGAATGGGAAGGGATGGTAAGGCATAGGCGTATGGGATGTGAGTTGGGAACAGATGGCAGCAGAAGTAAGCCATAGATAACAATAGTTTTTTATGCATTGGTTGTTGAAGTTGTAAAACACGTCCGCTTTTGGAGATCAGTGTTGTGTTGAGTACGGCGTGGATAACAGTAACTCAACTCAACAGTCAAACCCAACTTCACTACAAACTTTGAAAACTTTACACAACTTTGAAAAACTTCACTTCTTTTGCAAACTTTTTCACTTTTTTGTGTTTTGGTTACATTTGATCCAAACTTAAGAACTTTGAGAAACTTGATCAGTGATGGCATCTCCCGCTGCTTACGAACCGATGCCCAATGAGCTGACTGGCCATCACTCGACAGCCATGTCGTCGCCCTATCCTCACTGTGAACCCCATGTCTTGAGTCAACTGTCACCCACGAAATCAGCCAATAGTATGGGTCATCAGCACAGCACCGATGCCTCCACTCCTAACAGTGTGTATACCATATATAATGACACCTCTGAAAGTGCCATCACTGAAGGGACACCACTTGACTGGGCATACCATCGCGAGCACGACCTCAGCTACCCATCAGAGCACGAGGGCTCCAGTCCTTTGGGTCTCTACGGACACCACAGTATGGGCGCAGAGATGGCACTGACCGGCAGTCATGTCACTCACGCACATCACTTGGCTGTCAAACTGGGCGCCAATCATATGGGCAAAGGGGTTGGGGTTGGCAGAGGTGGTGGAGCCGGTGCTCATGCGGTCAGTGTTGAGCAACGGATACGGCGACCGATGAATGCATTCATGGTTTGGGCAAAGGCTGAGCGCAAGAGACTGGCGGATGAGAATCCTGACCTACACAACGCTGATCTCAGCAAAATGCTAGGTATGTCACGAGTCCCATCTCCCTATCCTCCCTATCCTCCTATGTTCCTACACTACGCTATGCTCCCAATGCCTCATCACTTGCCTCCACTTCCTTCACTCCCTTCACTGCTATTTTTGTTCACATATTTTAAAATAGGTTTTCATATTTACGAATAATGAATCAAAGTTTAGATCAAATGCTTTTGCTTTTCATGAAACAATCTATTATCAAATGATATTTCATAGAAATGTTTTTATGAGTGCTTTCATTTGAGCTCTAAATGCAGTCCTAATGGAGGAAATAATTGTATCTTTTATTCAAATATTCAGAGAAATCGCATAGATTTGTGTATAACAGTCATTAGATTGGAAATTGAAATGATTAATACATTTATAATGGCTTTGAGAAGTGCATCGTTTGCATCACTTATAGCACTGACACCACTCAGACCTCTCATACCTCTCAACCACTTTTCTTAAGCCACTATTACGGCACACAATCGCTTACGAGTGCTATTACTGTAGCACTCGTTAATGTAATGCAATGCAAATGATGTAGTTTTTGTAAATGGGTTACAATCAAAACCATTACACACAACACAACACACACTCCGATATACTATCGTGATATGTGTGGTGTGTAAGAAGTATATAGAGTGCAATGTATGCGCTGCGAGTGTCTGAGCGATTGTCATCCGAAAAATTTGTTACATAATTAGAAGTTTGAAAATTGCTTTAAATGTAAAAGTCTTTTGGATGGGAAGTAATATAAGTATAAATAAGTTGTGATTAAGAAAAGTAATTACGCGTTATTATCAACTTCTTGAGCAATGGTGGGCCATATGTATGTGAGTTCTTTATATAAACATAGCCCTGGGCACTTTTCCACCTTCAATTGAGAAGTCCTACTTTACACACATTTAAAGCCCACTTCATTTGAGATGAGGTGAATCTCTCATAAGTTTTTGATGAGTTTTCACTTAATGATAGTCTAATTCTAGAGCTATTCTAACATACAGTGCATTGGAGTGGCCAATGGGACAGACCGGTAGCACCAGTAGGATCAGTCCAGTGACCACTTTATTTTTAGGCACCATTACAGTGATAGCTGTGCTCTAATCACACAATAGCTGTGCAAAAGTAGTGACAGGAGCACTGAAATGATAATACATTACTAATGATATGTATTTTAATACTTTTTGGGTTTAGTGTTCATATTATTCTCCATTCGAGTCATATCTCGGAGAATAGAGTTCTGAATATTTAAGTTCATAACACATAACACATACCATAACCATAACCACCAACTGTTTGATGTAATATAACGTTATACTCTATACAGTATGTTATAAATGCTTACTTTTATGCATTTTCGCCTCAGGTTTTGTTTAGTGTTTCACTTCATGCTAATGCTCAGTATATTTAACCTCTGATCCTTTTTTAAGGACTACCGTTCCTGACATTCTTATACAACTTGATTCCCTGCTCTCTCTCTCTCTCTCCCTCCCTCCCTCCCTCTCCCTCTGTAGGCATTCAAAACAATACGATTTTTCATTATTCAAGTAATCCTAACATTCAAGTGATTTATATTTTTAAAAATCGTAATAAACGTTGCATTACTTGAAACTAAAACCATTTAAAGTGCAATAAATTCAACACTTATTCAGTGTTTGCAAATATATGGCTGTTTGTCAAGTGATAGTCAAATGTAGAGAAGTTTTCAAATATTTCCCAAAATTCTCAGCATTGGCTCCAATATTGAGAGATTGAGAGTAATGTTGTTATGAATTGTTTTATTGATTGTGTGTTTGAAGTGGAGTTAATCAGTGATTATGTAATAGTGATTTGGAAGGGCTCTAAATGGCACGGAAGCGGCCATCAAATGGTTGCCATTAAATGCTTCACTTTATATTTGAGGCATTTCTTGACGAGTAATCCATCAGATTTTGTAAAATCCATATAAGAAGCCAATAGGACTGCCAATAGGGCGCTCTGGCCTTAATGGAGCCGACACTACGGCTGTACAACTCGTTTGAATGTATTACTGATTATACTTATAGTATATATAAGTCTTATACTGTATGTTATATACTGTATGTTATAGCGATTGCTGTGCTTTGCCTTAGAATCTGTTGAATATGTTGTGTAAGAATTCTGTGAGACTTGACTTCACTTGAGACTTATAGAGAAAAGAAAACAAAATACAATTTTCTTTATTTAAATGCTTTGAATAATTGCTAGTTTTTGGAACACAAGAAAATTCCAGTCCATACAGACATACAGACTGTCAGTATTTGATTCAAATCGAAAAGATATTCATTTTCGATAAAACTAAGAAAAGCGAAACATTGGATGCATTTAATTGAGAGAAATATGTCTTTAATCCGGATTACAGTCTTTATTATTCAAAGTTTCGTGAGAAAAGTCATAATTCGGAAAAACTGGAGAAAATTGTTATGAAAACTAAAAACAAAAACTAATGATAACAATAAGTGAGTAACGAAAACATGAAGATTTAGACCTTGCGTTTAGATATGGCTTAGCATTACTTAACATTACAGGCATTGCCAGTATTTCTACATTTAATTCTCACTAATACTCGCTCGCATGCAATCATCTATACATACATACGATACATACGATACATACGCGAACATTAAACGCTCGATTCTTCCTTGTCTTACATTCAATTCAAAAATAAAATCATCCCTTTCTCTCAAAAACCACCACCACCTCACTCCCCACCAGTCTCTCTCTTTCTCTCTCTTTCTCTCTCTCTCTCTCTCTCTCTCTCTCCTGACAGTCTGTCTGTTGTCGACCTTCAGAAGAGAACTGTTGCCTTAAATCCTTTGATGTGATGTCACTTAGCAAATAATTTTCTATTGAATTGATCGCCAACACAACACAACATAACACTACACCACACATCACATCACATCACAACCAAACTCTTGGAAATTTCGAAGAAAATTTTCATTTATTTTTCTTATTATTTTAAATTAGATGTTAGAGTAGTGTTTGGAGTGTCAGTGTGTTTGCAATATTTGCATTAATTTTAATAAATAAGCTCTTGATGCAAATTTTTGTAAATCTATATCTTAATGTGACTTAAAGTGAAGTAAAGTTACATTTAATGAGTTTGGGATATTTAAGCGTCAAAAGCAATGATTATACTGTATATTGGATGTGGAGTTTGAGGGTTTGGAGTGTGGAGTGAGGAGAGAGAGAGAGAGACTTTGGAAGTGATTGCGTGTCTATGGGTCTAATGTATTGGCAATTTGATTGTATTTCATTCAATTGCATTGTATTGCGTGTTAAGTAATTGTGCGAAACCTTGGGTCGCAAATTGAGAAATATATAGAAATATTGAATGTTTATACTCTTTATACAGCATATCATAAGGAAGGCTAGCAATGAATCTTAAGTTATTTTCATTACTCTCTACTAATATTGCTTCTTCACCGCTACTAAAGTCTTATTAAAAATCCATTGCTTTACTAATGATAGGTTTTGCAGTTATTAGACGTTAGACAGCATTCATTCTCTCCTTAACATCCATTAACTATCAAAATGTGTTATAACTTCTACACTATTCAATACAGTCTACCTGTATATACCGAATATATTATTCATTAATGCCTGGATTCTCATAAAGAATAAATGGCAGCACAATATTGTCCCCGATTTTGGCACTTTTAAAAAACATTAATCAATATTTTAACCTCAAAATAGAGTTGTTTTTTTCTTATTTCCTTTTCCTTTAAAATATGTTTTGAATTCAATCAAAATGTTTAAAAACTAAATAATCTCATCAATGGTTTAGTAATATCTATATGTTTTTGATGATTGCATTCTTTTGTTTAATATATTTGAGTGACGAACAAATCACTCATTTCTAAACTTTTGGCAACTTTTATGCATTCAATTCTCGATAAAATAGTTTAATAATGAAATTATTTTAAATAGTAGATAAAAAAGGTTTGTTTTATTACAAAATTCTTGAAAATTCCATTTTTGGAAAACATTTAAATGTTTTTGAATGATAAATAGTTTCAATATTAATAATATAAAAAATTAATAAAACAGATACTTTATAAATTGATTCATAATATTGATAATTAAATAACTGATTGATATTAATTTTCGTTCAAAGCAATTAAAATGAAATGAAAATTTATTAATTTTTGTAATTAACTTTTTTCATGATATTACATAATAAAAACTTATTATAGTACTAGTATAATAAGAGTTTTATAAATATGTTTTTGTATTTAATGAGTAAAATACGATAAGTAACTGTAAGCTTATAACTGTAACTTGCTTTGCTATACAGTAAGTGTTATTTATAAAGTTATTTTGAAAGCAGATCTCGTTTTGCATCCATTTTTGACAGAAACTTAGATCACAATTAATATGAAATGATTAGATCATTAGCCCATATATAAGATGACTGAGACTTTGCTATTATAATGATGTGTGTGTACTGTAATATTGTTAGTACATTATGTCGGGCTATTTAGTGTCGTTGCGCTCACCCATCACCGCAATCACCGGGTCTTTGTTACCCTACCTTTCCTGTACAGCCTTTCCAACACTGCCCCACATTATACATAACACTTACTCTTCAAATCTTATTTTAATTTCAAACCCAACGACATTGAGATATAGAAAGAGAAATAAAATGCATTAATATTAAGAGAAAATGATTGCACGTATTTATGTCACCGATAATTATGTTTAATGATAATTGAGAGGCCTTTGGCTCTACACTAGGGCTCCACTCAATCGTATGGTGAATATGAATGCAGTTCTGCATAAGTAAAGCAACCAATTCTTGCATTTAAACACAGCTATCACTTGCATTACTATTATTTGGTGTTTTAGGTGTTTAACGATTTAAATGTTTTCAAAAGATATTGAGAAAAATTTAAATAAAAAATGAATGAATTTTGTTGTGAAGTATAAGAGAGCGAAGAAAAAAGTTTTCATGAAAAGGAAATAAAGTGTTTTTGTGACGTACGCTAAGATTGAAGATAAGTACGTAAAAACTGGTCACGAAATTAAGTGTATGGTAGGGTATGGTAGGGCTGGTTTGAACTTTTTTATTTTAAGAGATCAGGGTGGGATCTACCAAACCATTGTTATCCATTGCATCCAAGTCCTAGTTTTGATTCTGTTCCCAAATCTACTGTACATTATTTACAATAGTGTAACACTTGGATCAAACATTGCACGGGTAGTACAGGCTATGAACAGGCAGTGCACTCAAAGGGTGTAGTTCTTGTGTCACAAAAGATAGAGTAGAGCGCTGTTGAGGCTGTAGAGGCTGTTAAGGTGAGCCCGCATTGTATCACATCTTAGACACTATAAGACTGTATGTTTCCCGCATATAATTTAATGACTGACCCAACGCTCATACATGAAATGCTATGACGAGGCAATTCTGACCATTTATTTGACTTTTATGAGCGCATAATAATTGGTGGGAATGGGCTGTAGATTACTGTTGTTAGGACTCATAGCTGATGAACAGTTTGTGATCAGCACTCACTCTCAGGGCTTATATTGTGAAAGGCCTGCAATTTAGGTCTCATTCTCTATAGTATGTCGAATGACATGCCTTTCGCACGAATCGCATATTTGGCTCTTTTATCCATTCATTCATTTTCTGCATTTCATCCAAAATCATAACCAAAACTCCAAATCAAACTCTCAATTCAATATTAAGCGCAGTTTTGGTGGTTTTGGTTGTTGTTTGCAAAGCTTTGTTAAGAAAATCTCGATTTTGTGAGTTATGGCCACTTCTTTACTGTTAAGAATCAAAACTAGTTATTGAGTAGTCGTTTGTAATTGTTTTGATGTTTAGATCCCCTGTTAAACAGTTTTCGTTACCACTTGTACTCAAAGTTTAATTTATTTTAAAATTAAAATTTATATTTTGATAGAAAGATAAGATTTATTATTTTTATGTTGTTTTTATTGCTTGGTATTTAATAATTCGATATATAATTAATAAATAAAATAATTTTCATAGGAATAAGTTATTTATGGCATGAATTAACAACTGCTTTGTTATTAGAATAGATGACTAAATAATAAGCAAATTAATAGCGGTGTTAGTAAAAGTCAGTATAAGAGGGCAACTTTTGTGCACTTTTGAGCACTTGGATGGGTTGCCATTTGATAATTGTCTGGAATCTAGTGTTTAAATCTTATTTTAATGGCGAACAAGAATGTGATAATAAAACAATGACCTGAGACTGGAGTTGTACAGAGTCTGCAGTGATTGTAGTGACTGTGACTGAGCTCACAGTTACCTAAATCTCTATCTATTGAATGATATGTGGGAAGAGGTCTTGAAGACGAGCTAACCTCAAGCGAAAACGCCTCGAATAATGAAAATTAGCAAAAATCATAATCGAGATTACATTTGATGTGATGAATGCAATTAAAACTAAATTATTAATTGTAATAACTCTTTACAATTAGATATAATTCCTACTCAGTCTCGCTCTGTCCAGTATTTAGGCCAACAGTTAGACATACTTTTCTCATAAGCGCTCAAATATTTCACTAAAGGTAGAGCCCAGGCATAGCACTGTTACCTATACGTGACATGATTACCAGATTATGTAATCACAACTTGTATATAACCCCAGGCCATTTACGCACTTTGAATTGGAAATCAACTCAACTTTTACCATCTCTTCAATGTATTCAATAGTAACAAGAAATATGACTCTCGAGTCGTGTTTTTTATTGATAGCATTTAATTTATGGCCAAATTAATTATAAAAAGCAACAAACTATACACACAAGTGATTAATCGCTTCCATTCCTAAACTCAATGAACATATTTTAATGAATGAAACCAAACGAAAGCTCTTTTTCTTGCTATCAATTTCATACACTAGAGTCGGTCCCAGACTATCACTACATCCATGAGTACATTCATGGGTACATCTATGGTATACTTACCTGTACAGTACCACACACTCTACTACTCACTGTACTACACACCATCCCATTCTTTCCATTAAATGCCAAATAATTATCACCTGAAGGGTCAACAAATAATGCACTCAATTGGATCATATTTTTAAATATACCTGTATTATGATATGAATCCTAATGAATAGTCGAGTACTAAATTGTTGCAAATCTTGTCCAACAGTTTGCGTTCAAATTATTGAGTAAACATTTATGAGTATTTTTGAGTCTAGAAAATATTTTTGCGTTTTTTACAAACTTTTTTTGATCAACTCATTGAGTGTCTGTTGAAGTGAAGTAAAACAAATGTGTGATATCCCATCCCACCCACAGGTATAGTTTGCTGAACGCCTGTACAGATAAGTCTCACCTGACCTATAGTTGAGTGAACATAAGATGCAGTTATGAGAGTCTTCTAAACCAAATATATGTATTGTGCGAAACACCCATTCCTATGCATATAATGCATATACAGGTATATGTGATGTAATGCTGTGTATAATAAGTGGAATACACGATATGTATCTGTGATATAATGGACTATCATATATCAATACATTATCTGTAGATATCATTTAAAGCACTTCCGGTTCAAACAAATATTGTAATATTATTTTTGCAAATATTCGATACATTTCGATGTATTGTATGATTGATGAAAATATTTTGTTATTAATAATTAGAAAGATTTTCAGAGGAATTACGGTTGAGCACAAGTGAATATAATCCCGAGTGAAATCCCGGTGCTTGCAATGCGTGATAGAAATCTTACAGCGCATCCCTATCCCATGTTTTGCGATTTGAGAGCCGGTGTACCTATTCTTCACTGGAGCTGTCCTATGCTTTTCGATCATCTTATGTGTAATTGAATACCTGAGCGTAACATATAATTATTGTTTAATCTCTGACAGCCATAGCCATAGCCATACATATCTTCCCATTTTAGGGAATGCATCAAATTTTTTGATAACAACCCAAAACTTATTTTTACGCATTAATTAACTTCATTTTTGTATTAATAGCTATAATAGCAGTGAATACCTATCGCTAGTAGTGTTGAGACGTAAATCTCTGGAAATATTATTTTCATATAAGATTAGACCAGAGTTTGGGGCCAATAATGAGAACCCATTTGACAGAAGTCTATCCGTTTGTTAGGATGTCATGAAAGCCGTTAAACCTTTGATCCAAACAAATGTTGAACACAATTGTATGCTTTCGTATGAATTGCTATGAAATTTGGGTGTTTTAGGTGTTTTCCATTTAGTAGAGGCGCCGCTCTTTAATTAGGTGCGACTCTCATCACGACTCCATACCACTCCATACCCACTCTTAGTCCTCATATCTAAACATCTTTTGATCGAATTTGAATCCAAATTGAAGTCAAACTCAAACTTCGGTTTAGATCTGTATTAGTATTTGAAACGATTGCAGAGATAGTGAAACGAAATGAAACACAAAAACACGTTTTAAGATCTGGAATCTCGGATCACAGCTGCCATTTCACAATCCTGTGCTGACCCTCCCATTCCTCCCTTTCCTCCCATTTGATAAGTTGACCCCATCTTTCATTTATTTCCTCAACAATACATGTATTTGAATGAGAGATAAGTTTTTAATTATTCGATCGTTTGGTTTGCTTTCGTTTTCATCTTTCAGGCAAGAAATGGAAGGCTTTGACGCCTCCAGAGAGACGTCCGTATGTTGAAGAGGCTGAACGACTTCGTGTGCAACATATGCAGGACTATCCCAACTATAAGTATAGACCCCGAAGACGAAAGCACGGGAAGAGGAGCTGCAGAGGCGGCCGAACACAAGGCCATAGCGACGGCATCCAAATGACCGATAATATGGGACTTATGGCAATGTATGGCTCACAGAGCGGTGGCCATGGAGTTCATATGGACAACCGGGACAACTCGTCGATGAGTTCGCCATCCCTGGAGTACTGCGGAGTACAGACGCCGGAGTCGTCTCCACACGGAAGTCCGTTCAGCAACAGTATTGGCGAGTCTTTGATGCGAAACAACCGAATATTGGACTCATTTCGTTGCACTAATAGTAACAGCACTTCGAGTGCCGTCTCTCTCAACCCAAACCCACAGCACTCTAACCACTCGAGTGCTGTTATGTATACGAGAGATGAATGCAGTTTATCGCTGCCCAAAGACATAGCTATCGGTGCGGAATTGCACAATGAATTTGGAAATATGCCACAAACCAGTGCCTTAACTGAATCAATCAGATCCCTTCCCACGCCTGAGATGTCTCCGGTCGAGTCGCATGAGAAGGAGATGCAAAGCCATCAGATTCACTATCATAACCACATGCATAACACACCACCACAACAACACCTGCTCTCATACCAGACCAATATTTCGAGGCCGCTGTCCATACAAACCGATTCAACTCAAGCACACGCTATGTTTGGCCAACAAATGGCCCCCAAGTCTAGCGCTCCTATGAGTCAATTGATGTCCCGTTTTGACGGCGACTCATCGTTTCTAAGACATCTGAGTCCTCCCTATCGCCACCGAATGCCTTCCCATATCTCTAATGGTATGAATGAAGTCCAAAGCAATATATCGCACGAGTATTCATCGAGATCTATGCTTCAGCACCAGTTGGAGCAGCCGAGTGGCCAATCCCGTGCCATACCACCGAATTGGCCGCAATCGCAAACTCAACACATTCCTAACTATAACAGAGATTCGCGACAATATATGTATGAATTTGACACAAAACCAGAGCTTAAACCAAATGAGATGATGAACATTGAGAATAATTCGGTGGAAAGTCATCCAAACTATAACTACAATAATTACATGACTGTTCCGTCCCATATGAATGACAGCCTTCTACTCGAAAGCCTTTCACAAAACAATGATTTGGATAATATGCTCATCAATAACAGCCATCACTCATCCGATCCCAATCCACAAAGCAGTCAATGCGAGACTCAGACCAACAAACTAAGCGACTGTCACCCCCACCCCCACCACCATCTGAATCATTCCTGTGATAACAAATACAGTTCCGAATTGATTGCAGCATTGGCTGAAACCAGAGAAATCTTGTAAACCAAATCTCCCACATTGTAAAGACTGCCAAAGTTTTTTCATAAGTTTAAAACATTGAAGCAAAATCAATTTATATAAATATTAAATATAATCTTAATATATTATTACCGTTTATGCAATCTACGAATGAGTTTACCCCGAAGTTTATATAACTAATTGAATATCAGCCCAATGTTTCAATTGGATTTATATGCCATTCGTTTGGTTATGATTAACGACTGGAACTAAAGTTAGTTATTCTTAAGAGTATATTCAAAGTGAATACTGTATTGCAATAAAAGGGAACATTTCAGGGTTTCACACAATTGTCATGTATTTTGAAATAATTAAATATTTGTTATGAATTTATTGTAATTAAGTAATAAATATGCAATTTATTAGAATTTTGTGTTTTGTTGCTTCTAAACACAAAATCTGTTGAGTTATATATAAATATAAAAATTCATTTTAGATTAGTTCAGACGAGAGAAACTATTAATAATTGAATAATTATTGTTATAACTTATAATTAAGACATACGTTCAATGTTTGTCTAAATGTTTTATTATTTAAAAACCTTAAGAGATGAATGTATTGTAAATTGTTAAAAGATTTACAATTATTTTGCTTTTGGATAATTATTTTATTATAAGTAATATAAATTCAATATAATACTGTATACATTTATTCATATTATTAGAAGATTAGAGCATTTTATTGATATGTGGATTGTTTTAAAACTTTTAAACATTTATTGAATTAAACATATATTTTACAATAAAAAGATTAAATTAATTTTTAATTGTTTTAATTTATTTGCTTAAATTTATTTCAATTTATTCATTAGTTTTTATTTATATATTTTATTGTGTTAGTGATAGAATCTAGAATTTTAGTATTATTTACACAAATTTATAAGACTGAATAGCTAATCAGTATAATAATTTTTTAATTGATTTAAGGTTTAATTAGTATAAAATTATATACTATAAATATATTTATATTATAGATGTATTTATTGACTAAAGTTATAACTTATAACTATAAGCTAGTTGACAAGTACAGTATGAATGTATTAATTTAATATTGTAAGTAATTTACATTGTTGTATGTATAGATATAGGCATATAAATTCAAATCTCTTTTATATATCATAAGAATTTGAGTTGAAAATTCTTAATCTTCTAAACATTACCAAAATGAGTTATCTTAGAAGCCAACCATCACCCGATAATGTTCAGACAACTCCTATAAAAGCACCGATACCTCAGACACAACAGGCAGCACAACAATCCCAAACCCCGCAGTCATCAGGGGCACCTCAACAGCCAAAAAGCGTGTCCATGCCCATCGTTGCTATTCCAGTCAACTGTCCGCCAGGACTCGAGTATCTCTTAGTTGTCGATCAATTGCTGATCAAACAAATCGTTGAAATCCTGGAAGTGTTCACAACTTTCGAGACAAATAATAGGTATGACATCCAGAACAATATGGGACAACACGTCAGTTTTGCGGACCCAGCCGTGCGTTCGAGATGTCCATCTATAGTGTCACCAAACAAGAACAGTACGTAAACAGAGCAGGTGAGTCTACACTCTGAACAACGACAACAACAACGGACGTCATGTACGTTCACCTCCGCGGCGGGCCTTTATAGTAGCCTGTACACCACGTCCTGACCTCAACAAACTGACCTGTCTTCCGCATCGAGGACACGTCCGGCAATACTCTTCTCAGAATTCGTGGACCCGTTTGTACGTACAGTATATTCTTCCGAGACGTCGAATTCGAAGTCTTAGCCAAAGACAGTGACAGAAATGTGGGTAAAATCTCAAAGAAATGGTCGGGTCTTCTGAGGGAACACTTCACTGATGCAGATGTATTCGGGGTCAACTTCCCCGGGGATCAGGACGTCAGGGCTAAGGCCTTACTAATGGCCGCAACTTTTCTCATCGATTTCATGTTCTTTGAAAAGAAAGGCAATCGAGAGAGGGATAGACCCGGAATGATGCACTGACACCACCACCAAGGTACTTTACAAATATATAAGCATTTGAAATGACGGGAAAACTAAATCTGCAATAAAACTTTATTCACAAACTAATTTACAAATACTATACAAACTTATTTACAAACCAAATAAAACTAAATGCATTTACATTTATATTGTATTTTATATATATTAGTAACTTAATATTCGTGATTTACTATTCACACACATATTTATGATTAGTTTTTACTAAAAAAACGCGAGTACAAAAACTAATCATAAATATGTTAACCTAACTTATCTACTGTTAATAAAACCTGCCGAGTGTTTAGCTCTCAGTTGTTGGTATACGGCTTACCGGGTTAATAAAATCAATCATAAATCAAATATAGCACATACACTATTTAGTGTTGTGTTCATTGTGTCTGACAATTATTATATGTCTAATAATTTATAATTTAACGCTTATTTAAAACTCGTATTGAATTAAATCTAAAATAAATGCAGTCATTCTTATTATAAGTGTTTCCCAAATGCTATAACTTATTCATATGAAAAGTATGTTAGTTTAAAAATAGGTGTAATTCATAATTGATTGCCAATGAAGTGCCAAAAATGGTTTCATTTGAAAAGGATTAACGGATGCGATTAAAAAAAGTGAAGAGAGATGTGATAAATGTATGAAAAGTCGGCAAAAGAGATCGACGAGGATGGGATTCGAACCCACGCGGGCAGAGCCCAATGGATTAGCAGTCCATCGCCTTAACCACTCGGCCACCTCGTCAGGTGTCATCACAACCACTCAAACACTGTTTTACTGTTTTGTCTCATTTCACACCAACGCCGCCAACACTGCCATCGCTGCACACCAGAGGGCACTCCTCGAGCACTTCACGCTAACAGCACTTCCTTTTCCTGAAGACATATTAACCTCACATTTGTCTCATTTGTTTGGTTTGCTATTTATTGGTCTCGATTGTCACCAATTGATCCTCAGAATACCACTTACACGGCTTCTGAGCAGCCTGCATGACATTCCCGTTCACACCGTTTGTATGGCAGGTATTCCACTGGGTTATGTTCTTCCCTTTCCTCAGTAGCTACCGAGTCCCTTCTGCAGCAATAGACCGCAAACAACGCGGTTTCGGCGGACAAACCAAACCCATCTTCAGAAAGAAGGCAAAGACCACCAAAAAGATTGTCTTAAGGATGGAGTGCTCGGAATGCAAGTACAGGAAACAGTTGCCAATCAAGAGATGCAAACACTTCGAGATCGGCGGCGACAAGAAGAGGAAGGGACAGATGATCCAGTTTTAGACGTTGTGGTCGTTATCACCAATACATCACTTGTCTATCACTCTTGTACTCTATTACTATATATTTGAATAAATTGCTTAAAATTATACGCTTTTTATCGCTTTATTTACATTTGAGTGACTTGTCATCAAATGATTGACATTTCATTGAACACTCAATTGAATGACCGAAATATGGATACATTATTGTCATTTGGATGTGTCGTACAGATATTTGTCGCACAAATGGATCAATTGTGTGATAGTCTCGAATCCAGACTGAAGTCGATATAAATGGTAAATCTAGACACGACTGAATTGATGTCATTTCATTAATAGTAGATATAAATAATAACTTCATTTAAACTTGTACAAATTGTAGCAATAATTATTAATAATTTCTATTAATTTATAAATTTTATATTTAGATAATTCTTATAAAATGATCTAGCATACAATTGTAGTTTACCGGTAATTTTAAAATATAGATTAAAACTTACAAGAACTTAACTAAGTATAGATTTGGCATTATGAATTTAGTATCAATAATCATTATAGTTTGTTAATCCAGTATTAAATCGGTATGAAGTTATCATGCATTAAATCTAAACAATTAACTATGACTTATTAAAAGTTTTTAATTAAATGTTCAATTTATTCACAATAAGTTGGGTCACAAATAAATTGATATAAAATTATGTATTCATAATTAAATTTATGAATTAATTATTTTAAGTAAGATAGATTAAACTACTCGATAATCCTATTATTCAATTATAATTATAAATTAATTAAATAAATTAGAACCAGATTTAAGTGAATTAAAAGTTAGAAGTTTGTGTGCATTGATGGGTGCCATAGAGGGCTGCAATTCATAGACAACCCCTGCATTGCAATAGTCATACGTAACTTACCACAAAGTGTAGGAAAAGGACAACACAGAGTACAGAACACAAACGTAAGTTAGCTGTGAGTTAACTAAATGTAAATTTAATTCCATAATAAACTAGAGTTAAATGGTGAAGGACTCATTTGCCAAACACATCCATAAGAGACAAATCCATGACAAGAGATTTGACTCGAATATAGCGATGGATGTGTTGGTGAATGAGTGTGTTTTGTGGCCATAAATACTCATTTGTTTGGATCTCCCGACAGAATGGTTCGGATGAATGTCTTGGCGGACGCCCTTAAGTCCATCAACAACGCCGAGAAGAGAGGCAAACGACAAGTGCTTCTGAGGCCCTCCTCCAAAGTGATCGTCAAATTCCTTAAAGTGATGATGAAGCATGGTATGTATACCTGTGTGCCACCGGTGCTCCCTGCCCTCCCTGTGCTCCCTATGCTCACCACTACTGTCTGTCCCCCATAGGCTATATCGGCGAGTTTGAGATCGTGGACGACCACAGAGGCGGCAAAATTGTGGTCAATCTGACGGGACGTCTCAACAAGTGTGGAGTCATTAGCCCTCGATTTGATGTCAAACTGCGAGAGCGATTAGCTATCATTGCAAAGAATATTATTATAATACGAGTCCACAGAATACAAACTCCTATTCAATCACATGAAAGATATGGCTCTCAGCTCTCAGAAAGTGATTTCTCAAACAAATAATTATCACATTGCCAGACATGTGCCCATTAGAGCTACAGAATAACTATATTATGAAACATTTATTCCTACATTAATGAGATGTCAAAGAAAACCTCAATTATATTGACAACCAATTCATTTGTATACATTAAGGGGTGATTCAATAAATACGTTGCATGTACTGTACAGTATGAATACATGATAAGAAAGTTTGGCACAGAAACATAGTAGCTAGTGGCAACTGGGGGAGGGAGGTCAAGAATTTGTCTACGTACACATTGGATCCCCTCTATAAAGTACAGTTCAATCTTTATACTTTGAAATGAATTCAATTATAAGTGTTGTGATAAAAAAATTATAGAGAAATACAAGTTATGCACCGCTTTTCATAAGACATTAAATAGGAAATATAAGAAGTAGTAGTTATAATAAGTTAAGTAATACATAAGTAGAAAGTTATAATAATAAGCCAAAGTGAGTGTGCGATGTACTCCCTGTCCCACTAACCTAACTAACTGGTGATTGAAGCGCATTATTATTGACCACTTATATGAGCGAATCGTATATGAAATGTGAAACAATTGTTTTCAGGTTTGGTTTGCGCTTCACGTGAATCTCGTTTGATTTCAATGTCTTTTAAGCGGGTGTTAAGTAAAGAGTTACGAAAATTCAAGAATCGTTTGCATTGAGAGTTGTAGAGAAAGCTTCAAATATGAGCTCCAAATGAGTTCAAAACAATATAAATAGTGGGGGAAGTGGGGGCGTTAGGGTTGGCACTCATTGTAGGCAACACTTGATTAGTGAAGCGAAATAGGAATCAATAAATATGGACACAAATTATTGAAGAGGAGGACATACCAAGTGATACACAACTCACACACCAATAGAGTTTATATAAAGTATTCAATTGTCATACAGTCATACAGTTAATGCATTTTAAATGATTATAATTTATATAAAAGATTGCATATTATGCAGTTGTGATTGAATGGAAAATAATGGGGAAATTTGTGGATTAATTGGAAGTAGTTATGGATGTTATGGATGTACTTCTGATACTTCTGGGAAGCAATAAAAATGGAGGAACAGGTGTCTCACTCTCAAGGACTCAACGATCTATCAGTCCTTTTAAATCCATTTAAAGCTGCGCTCGACTTCTCAATCACTCCAATACTATAGCTTATTATGAAATTCACTAAAATATCAATACTTTCAAAACATTGACAGAGAAATGCAATTATGAATCCGTAGTTTAAAAGTTGCGAAATATTTGAGAGCGAGAGTTATAAGGGTTTCCATTTATTCATGTCATGAAGTCATCATTAATATCATATTTAGGGCTATAATGTTATAATGGGTTTGAGATTAAGTTTGGGTTAAATTAGTTTTTTAGTTCACTATTCGTTTCCTTTCAATCAACCATTTTCTCGTTTTAAATCTTATATCAAAATAATAAAAATGTTTCTTTAAATCAAACAATCATTTGAATGGTTTGCAGAGATTAGACACAAAACCATTGAAGCCTTAAGACTACAGTCCAGTGAACAATGAGTTCGTTATAACAGTATATAATTGATCTGAAAATCAAATCCAATATAATTGACTGCAATATTAGATTTGCAATACTTTTGACACAATATTTACTATAAATAAGTCATTTGAATATAACTTAACTCTTAAAAGACATGATAATAGAGATTGAGATCAACTGTAATGACAATGAATGATACAAATGGATGCAAACCTTCGTGCAGTTCATGGGTCACCACAACACACGGGTCTTCGGCACCGCTCGCATCCATGTCCTCATTGTCCTCCTTGTCGTCCATCACTTCCTCCACAGACACTGATTTGTGATCATTGGGCCGACCCTTAGGTCTCTTGAAGCCTGATGTGGACGGGGTGTCCATCCCTTGCATCCCTTTCCACCACTTATTTATATAAACTCTAATATATCTCACAATCAATATTTAACTCAATTATAAAACTATTTAATGATTTAATTTGCATTTCATTTATGACTTCATTATTTAAATAAATCATTAATTCATAACAATTTAAACCCAAAACCAATAGCTTTGGTGCACTTTAAGTGCTATAAACACTTTGAATGCAAACAAATAATTAAATTACGTATAACTGTATCATTGAATGAGTGTTTGATTGTCTGCAAAAGTATGGACTGAAATGAATTGAATACTAAATAATAATAATAATAATAATAAATGTTGATTACAATTGCAATGAATTAAATGTTTGCCAAACAGTGTCAACATGTTTGCCATCTCTCTATCACTACATACTGTATCACAACAGACATGGCCTTCACTACATTCACTGCCCCTCCGCCACAACACGTGCTTCACTGCATTGCATACACACCGCACGCATCCATACAAACAAACAAACATTCATTCATTGATTCAATTGTAACGACAATTGACTTTCAAATCAATTATTGCTTTCATTAAAGCATTGGTCCAATGGATGGGACCATTGAGACCAATGATGGACACACTTTGGATCCACTCATTAATGGCATGTTTGACAAAATCGCAAACAATACAAACGCTTTCTTTAAAAGTCAACAGATAGACGACACGGATCTGACGTTTGATGAGAAGCGAGTTATTGTCCAAAAGATATTCATTGATAATAAGGAAGTGTTTCTTCAGAGGTATGGCAACCACTTGTCCGAAGAGGATCTCAAGTGTTTCGATGACTTCAGAGACAACTTAACCGTCGATTGTCTGCTAAAAAGATTTACAAATAGTTTGAAGAAAAGGAAAACAATTGTGAAGAACAGGAGGTTTGAAGCGATGAAGAGACTCCTCAAAAGTGGACAGTATTTCAGTGACAGTCAAATGCAAACTAGAAATCCTGTGCTTTTTGATCAAATGATTGGACAGCATATGACTGAAGAGGAGAAGACATATCTGACGACTGAAAAGTATCCACAGAATCAACAAAACTATACCTTCTCTTCATTTCTTTTGCAACAAATGGACAAAAGTGAGGAACAAATGAAATATGAATCCCACGAAACGGAAGAATTCGATTCAGAAGACAGTGATTCTGAGAGTGGAGAAGACATTGAGTCCAATAAGTGTCAGTTGGAAGACAACGAGAAACTCAGACTTCGAGAAGAGTTCATTAAAATAATGTCCGAACAGTTCCTCTCCGGAAAGGATTCAGAGTTTTATGATTACAATGAATGCGATAACGACTCGAATTTAGATTTCAATGAAATCACAGACAGGGATGAAGAGGACCGGTATTTCGATGAAGACGACTAATCAGAAATTATTTTAATCGTGTCATAATCTTACCTTACTCATTCACTTGTAATTTTTGTAAATATTATTTTGAATATATTCCTAAATACTGTATTATAATATTGTATAGATTAACGAAAATGATTGTTCTTTTATATTTTCAAACCTATTGATTATCATGATCTTACAATTAGTCAATAGTTTAAATGAGCACACATTCATGAATTTCAAATTCATTTGTATTCAATCATGAATTTGTATTTAAATTCAGTAATGAGAACTTGAAAACGGACACTAAACCAGAATAATATATAATTCATTATTCATTATACGGTAATTAGAAGATGTTTATTAAATAAGTTAATTGAAACAAAAATATCAATACATTTAAAATATGAGACATTTGTGCACCACTGCAGACCAAGAGAATGTAGGGCACTGTCGCCAAAGAACTGTCCACTCAGTTGGTCCAGTATATACAGTACATTCATGGATTTCATTTACGGTACAAAATATTTCATAAAAATAATACATTCAATGTAAATAAGACAATAAAAATTCAATTACTTTAGTACCGGTAGAATAATACCGAATAAAACTTGTCATCAAATTCTGTCTCCCTTTCAATAGTGTAATGACCGGTAATACAGTTGTATTAAAAAGCGCATACAAAGCAAGAAGTGGTCGAAATGTATTTTGGCTAAGAATTTTCAAAAGTCAATGAGAAATGAGGGGTGACTTCCGTTTTACTAAATTATATATATATACCGGTATTTTTATAATGATTGTAATGTTTTTGAGAATCGTAAAAATAAGCAATAAATCCATTTGCTATAACTTATTCTGGTTGACAGCAATGATGATGTGATACTGTCTCAGAATATGTTATCCAAATGTAAAGACTTTCAATTTCTACGATAAAGTTGTTTTAGATGAGCCCAAATCCACAATTTATAGTTATATTATTTGTAAATGAATGAAAGTAGTGACAACACGACAGTGTTTACCACTACAGTAATTGTAATATAATGTGAATCAATCACTACTTCTTGGGGGTGTGGTATTCTTCTATGCATAGATGGCAACTCCAAGAGCCCTCAGGAGGTTCTGTTAATACAGTTACCGGTATATTAATATTTGAAATTTCCAATCATTTATTGAATACTGTACTCAACACATCAATTAAATAAGGCTTACCTGAGAGTGGAGGTGAGAGACAGTACATATGATAACCTCGATCGCAATCATCGCAAAATAATAATTGATCCTAAATGAGAACAAATGGTTATATACCGGTATTTTTATAATGATTGTAATGTTTTTGAGAATCGTAAAAATAAGCAATAAATCCATTTGCTATAACTTATTCTGGTTGACAGCAATGATGATGTGATACTGTCTCAGAATATGTTATCAAAAATGTAAAGACTTTCAATTTCTACGATAAAGTTGTTTTAGATGAGCCCAAATCCACAATTAATTTATAGTTATATTATTTGTAAATGAATGAAAGTAGTGACAACACGACAGTGTTTACCATTACAGTAATTGTAATATAATGTCAATCAATCACTACTTCTTGGGGGTGTGGTATTCTTCTATGCATAGATGGCAACTCCAAGAGCCCTCAGGAGGTTCTGTTAATACAGTTACCGGTATATTAATATTTGAAATTTCCAATCATTTATTCAATACTGTACTCAACACATCAATTAAATAAGGCTTACCTGAGAGTGGAGGTGAGAGACAGTACATATGATAACCTCGATCGCAATCATCGCAAAATAATAATTGATCCTAAATGAGAACAAATGGTTAAAATGTTGAAAACACATCAAATGAATACGAATATTGAATTACATCGTTGTCTGATGTGCCGCATAGACCGCAAGACTTGCATTCAATGCATTGCCACCGATATTTGGAGACCGAGGTCACCATATTTGGTGTGAACTGAAGACATGTCGGATGGGCAGAGCGGCCGCAATCAGAACACGACACCAACTCTTCGGCAGATCTGGTCTTCTTATTCTCAGCCGAGTCTCCCAAACAGAAGTCGCAGTATTGACTCGGAGAGGCTAATGGCTTACCGCTGGCGCTCTTAGAACCTGTAGTCACCGATCAAACCATTAATTTAATTCTTATAATTAGTGAACAAATGGTAAACAAAGGGCGGAGGAAATGAAGGGCAGGAGCTGAGGATTCATGTCTTACTTGAAAGGCCTAAGTTTACGAAAGCATTGTCTGAAATATACATTCAATCAGTCGTTGACAGGAGAGACGAGAGGACAGAGAAAACAATTCACAAAATGTTTATTCAATTAGTTTTATGAGATTTGAGTGGAAGGCTTACCTTCTTCTTCAGGATTAGGAGGTTTAGGGCCAGGATTTGGGGGCATTGGAGAGGAATGCTGTTGGGATGCCATCATTTGCGGCATCATTGGAGGCATTGGGTGTTGGTTTGGGTGTTGTTGTTGTGCTGATGGCATGTTTGGCGGAGGATGAGGAACGGGAGTTGATTGGGTTGGATGTGATACATGTGACTGATGGTGAAGCTGACGAGGAGGTGTGTACGGCATATCTTCGTCCTCTCTGGCAATTCCGCTACTATTGGGTCCACTCATCGAATTACTGTTGGAACCGTTGGATCCATCGTTTTGATGGCTATGGGAGTAATGATACGAAAGACCGGGTCTTGTCTTATATCGAGCGCCGCACAGATCACAAGAGTATGGCTTTTCTGCGTCTGAATACTCGACTCGCTTTCGCTTCGGCGCGTCCTTCTTCTTCTTCTTCTTTCTGGTCGAGTATTCTTCGTAGTCGTCGTAATCAGACTCCGGGTCATCGAGTTCTCCGGCGTCCGGCAAATCGCTGCCGTCATCGAAGTCTCGGAGCCACGACTCTTTCGACTCCTCAATGAATTTCTCGAAATTCTCGGTCACATCCATGCGATTGTTGTTCTCCACAGTATTGGTCACCACTTCTTCGCCGTTTATCTCACTTTCTCTGATCCTTTTGGTCAGATAGTTATCATTCAACAGATACTGTCGCCTCTTCTTCTTCCATCTGCGCGCAGGATATGAGTAGAGCTGACCGTTGCTGTGTCCGGGCATTCGGTCCACAGTCTCCGCCCATATGTAAGAATCACCTGATTTTCAGACCAAATAAAGACACCATTTGTTAAGTATTGTCACAAAACAGACACTAATGTCTCGTCAATACTCTGTGCCACTCCTGTCTGGGCGTCGAGGAATGGCAGCCGAAGACGTCTCTCATTCACGAGTCGGACATTATATTTCGATGAGTTCTCAATGGCGTCTTGATATGACTGATCCGATAAGTGACTAACCATTCAATGAATCATAAGATTAAATCAAATCAAAACAAAGAAATCAAATATAAATAAAGCCATCAATCAATCGATGCATTACTTCTTCAGTTTGTTTAAGACATCCGGTCGGATGACAATACCCTCCATGGCCTACGAGCTCTTCAGTGGACACAAGTAGTGATAAATGAGGTGACAATCACTGAATTGAAAGCAAATTATAGTTAAGTTTTGGAGACATTCAACGAAATGAACGCCAATTCGTGTGATTGAATCGATCTCTTTGTTGAGCCATTCCTCACACCAGATGTCTCTCCAACACAACAACTCTTTCGACAACTTTTCGGTCAATCACTCAAACATGAATTCAATGAAATCCAACACTAATTGTCGTTAATTATTACAAACCAAACACTCATTGCATTCAATTGAGTCTTAAATGAATAAAAAGAGATTTCAAATCAAAATAAATAAGTTTTTGCCTTTAATTCTCCAAAAAAACTTTTTTTATTAATTATTTAAACAATTGATGACAAAAGCTATCAGAAGAAGAAGCCGAGTATTTTGCCGCCCAAATGCTTTCTTCGTGCCTCTTCGTGGTCCATAATTCCTCCGGAAGTGGTCAGTACGAGGAACCCGAACTGTCGGGAGGGCAACAGATTAGCCAAATAGGACTCCATGTCTCGCAGTTTGACATCAAATCGAGGGCTAATGACTCCACACTTGTTGAGACGTCCCGTCAGATTGACCACAATTTTGCCGCCTCTGTGGTCGTCCACGATCTCAAACTCGCCGATATAGCCTATGGG